AACTATTCCAATCCTCTGATAAGGAAAGGATGATTTTAGTTGAATTATCGCCTGTAGTCATATTGAAGAAATAAAGTCAGAATTATCGAGGTTTGGGTTTTATAGAAACCACACTAAACAAGGTAATTCTTAAAAGAGTGAAACTTGAAGGTATTGTAGAGTTTCGGTATATGTGAATCAAGTATTGTGCAGGATGTTTAATTGAAAGCCAGCATTGGGCTCATAACTGTTGGGTTTCTTGAGACCAGAAAGAGTATCAGATTGAATTGATTGATTCTCTAGCTAAGCAATTAAGCTGCGAGTATATATTCAAAAATGAAGGAATAAGGTTAGGTATTCAGCCTTCGGAATTAAAGTGCTTTGAAATCAAAATATTGAAAGCAAGCAAACAGTATACCAAAAAGGAAAGAATGAATTAAAAGTTGAGTTTTGTTTGCTCCTTATATGCATCATGCAATATATATGCATATGCTGCCAAGATCCCAGGAGGTCAACACAATGTGTGATATGGTTTCTGGATAGAAAGGAAAGATTTTTTATTTCCTTTCTGTTTATTTTATCTTGGTTTTGTTTTATCTGGATGTATAGTTACTTATTCGTTGTATTACATAGTATGGAGTATGGCAATGAATGAATAGATATTTGTTTATCATGATATGTCTTGTTGAAAATATTTATCATATATTTATTTATATATAATATCTTCACAGGAATCAAGTTGAAAAATTGAAATGGGTGTTTAGGGACGTTGTGGGAGGGTGGGGTGGGAAGGGAAGGGAAGGGAAGGGAAGGGAAGGGAAGGGAAGGGAAGGGAAGGGAAGGGAAGGGAAGGTAAGAGAAAAGGAAAGAAAAAAATGAGAGGGAGAGACGATATGGATGAGATGAGATGGAACGGGTGATGTTTGAAGTTGGCTTTTGGGTGATTGGGGAATGATGGTGGGATGGTTGGACTTTTGCATCGAGTGGTTATGATGAGGATAAGTATTATGGAGAGTTCCGACTGAGAAACTGCATCTACTTTACGTCAGAACAACTTCGTCCTCAATCAGTATTGGCAAGTTAGCATTGGACTTCAATGTACACCTGCTCCAGCTCTCTCTTGAGATAATACGCACTAGAGCTCAGGAGCGCATTTGTTGGTAAAGTCTCCACTGGGACTTTAAGATTACCATACGTGATTTTTTTCATTGAGAACTCTTTTCCCTTCCCGGAATCTGCTCTAAATAATGAAGACTATTGTCATAAGTGATCTTACAAGTGCTTGTCTCCGAGAGGGTGATCCGGATAGCTGTACAAACACCCTTTTCTTGCTGGGGTGGATCCGAGATCGAAGTGATTGTGAATTTTGGAGAGAATGAAGATTAGGGATGGTGCAAAACTGGGCAAAGGGCTTTTGATTATTTGGTAGATATAAGATGCTAATATGATGAGTTTGCTGTAACCTCAAAACGCCCTTTTGCATATGCAGGCAGCACTAATTATACTTTCATTACCAAGGTGCTCATTGACTTCAAAGATATTGATACTATAAAATCGACTGATCTTGATTTCCTTGATTTTTATTGGTCAATTAAAGATCTTTAGCGGGATATCTACACCATTTTGAAAATTCACCATCAAAAACAAACACAGAGGTGATAATAGATAATGATTTCCTCACCCTTCCATCTTCCTTCCAAAACAACAACTACAACTTTCCTTCAGTCACTCATTAAATCATAACTCCAGTCAAAACCATCTCAATTGTATTCCGGAAATATTACAGAATATGATTTTAAATTTCCTCTTCGCAATATGGACTATATGTGCGACTGCTGGTGCGGCTCCCCAGTATCAATATGGTTCCATTAAATCTACAGTTACCGTCTACGCTTCTTGTCCTGATACTACTTCATTCCCAATTCTTTCAAGCAATCGCATGGCACATGTTTCTGGTGTTTCGGCAGATACAACTCTTCATGTCGCGCCAAATCCTACAACTCCGTCTTCAGAATTGTCAAGATCGACTTGGACTATCGAGAATTCTCAATTGCCAGTACCCACTGGGAAAGTTAGAAACCTCTGAAATATCTGACCCGGCTCAAACAACTATACTCTCCCAATCATTCAGCAATAATTACGCTTTTTTAGTCATTAGTGGTACAACTAGTTGGTTGAATGGACAAACACCAACAAGCAATCCATCTCAATCTTTCGTTATAGTTACTAGCGCTATTACAGTGGTACCTCTATCGACTCCACTTTCATTACCATCAACATCGAATAGTGAGTCTGTGATTTTATCAACGGAAACAGTAATTCCTTTATCGACTCGTCTGTCATCGACAAAAACCTCTAGTAGTGAGCCTATGGTTGTATCAACACCGACGGTTGTCTCTCCACCAACTCTTTCTCAATCATCTGCAAGTCAGCCAGCATCAACGGGTGAACTTATGTCTTGTAAGAAGCCTGTGGTTACCCCAATGAGAACAATTCTTCCATTAATACTGACTCGCACTTCTACTTCTTCTACCGTTGAAAGTAGTATTTTGCTTGGTCCTATATCATCATTGACATTGGCAACATGGACATCAACAGTACCATCAGCAGCCAACAAAACATCTGTTATCTCCAGCTCCACAGTCAAAACCAGCAGCGCTCTCAATCTTTCTTCCGCGGTTAGTTCTACTATTACGGAGTCTAGTTCAAGCATGCCTTTTGTCTCAAGCCAAACAATATCCGAACCAGAGTCTACTTGGAGCATTGTTGAACCAGTCACTTCATCTTCATCTTTCACTACTTGGGGTACTATGGGATCTGCAATCTCCTCCACCGTTGTTCCCACCTCAAAGCCAGCATCAATATTGATCAATTCTGCTCTTAAATTGGTTCCAAGTGAAGTTTTCTCCGAAGCCATTACTACTACGGACTTGAGTGCTTTAGCATCATCTGCAGGATTTATAGGCGCGGTTACAGAAATTAGTTCTACTCCAACTCCAACTCAATCACCATCGGGTAGAGTATATAGTGGCATGGCTTCTATTGGAGGATGGAATAAAACTTCTTCCATGATATTTGAATCATTATCTCTCCGTGTTCATACGTCTTTCACAATCGGGACTTTGACTACTTTATCAGCGGCAGCTGGATTCAAAAATTCTAATCAACCTTCAGCACATTTTCCTTCATCTACTGGTTCAACATTCTTTCCTGCCAGTTTAACTCCTTCGGCAGATCCATTGACTGGCACAACTTCAATATTCAAAGTTGTTTCACTTTCCAGCATGATTCCATTGTACAGCGCGACTTGGACAACTAAGACTAGTTCTTTGTCTGTCCCTAGTACAATGTCGACCCCGTTTCCAATATTTAATGCCACATCATTGCCTGTTTCTACTTCAATGTCTTCAGTCTCAATATCTAAGACCACTTCAATGTTTCACTCAACTCGATTGACTACATCTGCTTCAATTTCCGGCTTTATTCCCACAATTGTAGGACCTAGTTCCGTTGCTTTCCCCAATTCAACTTCGGTTACATCTACTAGCATGTCACCCTTATCCACATCATCAAATTGTGGAGAGCAAGGAGATTTCGTATTGAATGTAAGTTCTTGATTACCATTCCCTAATCTTTCATTGTTTGATAAGGCATGTACATTGATGTCCAAGTTAGACTTTGACATCAATTTGGTATCTAGTCCAAATTCCTCATAATGCCTTTAAATTTTCAGGAACTAATGGAAAAATAGTTTGATGACGTACCCCCACTATCAGTCTCGAACGCTAGTGATACTGATGTACAGCCGGAACCTCTATTCAATCCATACCGTCAATTCCTCTTTTCAGACGGCTTCACAGTAGTTCCACCACCAAAACGTCTACCATTCCTTCCTTCTTCGTCGCCCTTGCTCCTTGAATTCATACCAAACTTCGATGCCAATTCATCAAATAAAGAAACAGGACCAAACGCAGCAGACCAAGGTTTCTCCGGTCAAATAGGAAGTGGCGATGAAGGATTTACTGGTTGTTTTACTTTCAATCTATACGGAGCATCACTAGGCTGTGATTCAAGAGATGCCGCATGTGGTTTCACATTTACTGGATATAGTTATGATGTCGCTTCGAAGAAGACTTCTAAAGTTGCTCAACAAGTTATCAATGTCCCAGCTTGTCCTGAACTTTCAAATTGTGTCTTGACGAGTGTGGAATTGGATTCTAGTTTTAGGGATTTGACATATTTCTTGATGAATGTTACTGTAGCCGGTGAACCGAAACTTTGGTGGACGGATGATCTTCGTTTGGGATGGTTTGATAATAGTTGTTCGATGGGTTTCTGTCGCCAAAAGACTCATTTGAGGCGCTGAACACTGAGGATACTATTAACGTCGTCATTACGACCAAGATTGAGGGGGTAACAATTGGTGGAGGGAGAAGTTAGGGGTGGGAAAGGTGTTTAATATAAATCCTCGGGTTTCCTAGATAAACTTGAGAAATTATCACAGATTTGTTGATTTTTCCAGATTCATTCTCTAGCACTGTCTTTTATACAGTCTGGAGTTTCTCCTAGCTTAGCTTTCTGAATGTCTCACAGAACTATTCAATTAAATCTTTTGCACTCCTAGTCTTTACAATTAATATTTCTAATTTTCAAGTACACGCGTTCACCTCGGGATGAGCCTCAAATAATAATTGTCAAAATATCCTCACCTACACCCTCAAGATACTAACTAGTATACTTTTATAAAGATATCACTTAAAACTAATAAGATCTTATTAAATATATATATACTCAACCCAATAATTAATTTTGTTTAATTCAAAATCATCAAATTTGAAATATCTATTATTTAATATTATATTAATAATATCTCTTTATTATAATTCAAATACTTGAATAATTATACTTATAAATCTAGTATTTTATTTTTAAATATTTTTTGTCACAATTAATAATTAGATTGTATTTGTTAATAAATTCTAAATAAATTAAAAATCAAAAGTTTTAAATTTTTGAAATTTATTACTATTTATATAATGAATTCTAATTGAAATTTTGTTTAAATAGATTAAATTATTATAAAATTATTAATTAATAACAAAAATGATTTTTGATACAAAAAGATAATACAAAAAGAGAGTGGCCCAAAAGTAGAGTACTAACTAGACTTAAGAGAGTACCTTTATATCTACGCCAGAGTCGGGCAAAGAGGAGACTATACCTAGAGTAACCCCAAGTAAAAATGACAGAATACCCGGGGTAGGGGACATGTTCCCAACTTGATGCATGCCATTAGTATTCCACTTATACTTTATTTATTGCTGGAAGGAAATACATCGTAGTCCTCTACAGACAATAACAAGCAAAATAATATCAATTATTCATGAGATGAAAACGAATACGAAAGTATGTATACAATTGAGGTGGATGAATATTTCATTTACACTATGTAATCATAGATAGGTAACCAATGACCAGCTTGGAACCAGAGAAAAAAAAACGTCAATTCCTCATCCCATCTTAATAGATATTGATATCATAACTAACATAATCGAATCATAATTTCAAGCTTCCTGAGCTTGTTTGTTTGCTAGCTTATACGCGATACCGAGGGGAATTCTTCACTCTCTTCTTCCCACCCTTCATCCTCCATCCTCCCATCCAACCCCACCACCTCACCCCCCCACCCCCCATTCCCATTCCCACTCCCAAAAACAAACCCCTAAGCCTTCACACAAAGCGCCTGACCCACCACCAAATTCGAACACATAGGATCAATCCCTGTATTCAAACTCTTCAAAACCTCAAACGAGACTCCTCCATTCTTCGCGCCAACCCCATGACATGTATCTCCCATAACAACTGTATAAAACATGGAACAATTTGGTGTTGTTCCAGGGAGTACTGTTCCGGTTGCGTTGGTAGTAGTGCTGCTAGTGGTGTTGTTGGAGGGAGTGGTCATGTTTGCGGGGTCGGTGGCGCTGCTGGTGCTGTTGGAGGAATTGGTCATGTTTGTGCCGCCGGGGGCGTCGGTGATGGAGGCGCCTGTTAGGGGGGCGGGGGCGGAAGGTGGAGGTGGGGGAGTTTCGGCTGAAGGAGGGGTTGCGGGGGCATTAGCTGGAGGGGCGGGTGCTTCCGCTGAAGGAGGGGTTGCCTCAGCTGAAGGAGGAGGTGCTTCCGCTGAAGGAGGGGTTACCTCAGCTGAAGGAGGAGGTGCTTCCGCTGAAGGAGGTGGTGCTTCAGCTGAAGGAGGGGGTGCTTCAGCTGAAGGAGGGGGTGCTTCAGCTCGAGGCACGTGTGGAGCCAATATGCCCGGCACTTTGACGTTAGCTACATTGGATCCTTCAATAGTTGCCATACTGTAAATCATGTTAGTCTGGCAAATCTAGAACAGCTTATCATGGAAATCCTTACTCTCGATCCTGCAATTGAATAGGAGAGGCATGAACTGTCATTGCCAGAAAAGCAAACGTGATGGCGGTAAATGAGTATTTCATATTGAATTTTCAAATAAAAGATTGGTTGAAAATATTTGAGTAATTATATCAAATTCGTTAATTTGTCTGTTTGTATTTATTGATTCGTTGAAAGGAAGGTAGGTAAGTAGGTAAATGATGAGTCTGTATCAAAAATCCCCAAGGAATGTCTTTCGCAGGACTAGCCGCGGGATATGATGTGATTGAGTGGAATAAAGGAGTGAATTAGAAATTTGTTTAGGAAGATTTGATTGATGAGAGTTTTTTTTTTTTTGTTGTTATATACCTACCTATATATATACATACTTACTTTCAAGGTTATCTTGTATACATCAGAAGATTAAGTTCGAATTCATCCAGCACACGTCTCAAACGGATCGGGAGAATAAGTTTGATATCAGCTTCATGATAAGTCTCAGCCACGCTCAATCGGGTGAAGATGGAAAGTAAATTTCTCGGACTTTACATGTATGTATTTTCTTCAGATGGTGCTAGGATGGGTGGAGGTGATGGATCGTGAATGGTTTGGGATGATGGACGCTAGGTATTCGTATTCTGGGGTTGGGATCACTGGATTACGATATGATTAAGAGAGGGTTGTTTATTGAGTTGGAAAATAAAATAAAAAAACATATATATATCAAATCCTAAATATTGTTTTAAAGTATATAAAATTGATATATAAAAAAATTACCAATCTTTAAAATTTATTAAATTTGTTAAATCTTTTAAAACTTTAATATGATATATAAAATAATTGTTAAAGTGAATGGTTCCTGCGTAGCACGTGCACAGGGCACTAGTCCTATTAGGACTAGATTGAGAAGCTCTCTGTAAGAGAGCTTCGCACTTCCGTAGAACTTAGAAGAGAGATTAATCTACTAGACCAATATTACCTCAGTTCTGCCCTATCAGCTTCCCACTATTCCCTGTGTGAGGTCATTCCTTTTAACAATAATGTTAATTAAAAATCACAAAATAAAATCTTATAATAATTTTATTTTTTATTTTTTATTCTCTTCTCTTTTAACACTCTTATATTTTTTTTCTTTTATTCTTTTCATTTTTTCACTTACTCTCTTTTAAATTATATTATAATCAAATATAAAAAGAAACACAGATCCAGTGTTACGTGACGGTTGTTATCCCACTAGTGGCTCACGTGCACTAGCCCTGTATATAAAGACCTTCTTACTTAGAATCTTCTTAGTTCTTTAGTTTTAGATTCTAAGTGATTGAATTGACTCCGTTTACGACTTTTCCGTCACATCCAGAAAACTTTATTCGAGAATACCTATCCTTGGTAAAGATTGATAGATGCACAGACTTTCTGATGTGTTGGAACTTGGACGGAGGTATGGATATACGAATTGATATTGAGGATTGAGGACTGTATGGTGATGAAGAGCTATGTGTTAAGTTTGGTTAAGTTGGGTTAAAGATCCACAAAACATCACTATCAAGAACTTTCCCCTCCCTCCATTTCATTCGATCTCCATGGTGTCTGGATCGCAGATAGGCCGGAACACATCACCCATATTACCCATATTATCATATTTACAAATCTGAAAATCTAACAGATAACTAGTAGAGTAAAAGATCATACAAGATGAAATGATGAATATATTTAGCTTGCTTCAGATTCCCCGCCAAGAATATCCCAACATCCTGATATGGTGTTTCAACTTTTTGGAAAAATATTATGCGTCGATAGGTGTGAAACATGTGATTAGACGTATTTTTTCAACTGTCATTGTTTGAGATGAGGGAAATTTGTAGTGATTTATAAAGTTCATTTTAGAAAGGGTTTGAAGGGATGAATTGTATGCTCATTGCTGTACTGAATTGTACTGATCATGAATGAATGGACCGTGATTTGGGATGATCATGTGATAAGGACTGACATTCAATGTTTGAGATGAGAAAAGCTTGTAATGATTTATAAGCTTCATTTTAGAAATGGTTTGAAGGGATGAATTATATGCTCAGTGCGTGTTATAATCGTGAAGCCCAGCTGATCATGAATTAGCCATGCTATGACCGTATTTTGGGATGATCATGTGATACGATCTAGAATTTAAACTCTTTTCCCTCACCGATGCAATGCACGTCAGCGGAACGAGAAGGAAAAGGAAAAGGGAAATGCGGGAGGTCTGTGTGAGTAAAAATATCCGAAAATAAATACCTACCAGGGAGATATGTACCCAGGTATGTACCCAGTATGTACCCAAGTATGTACCAATATTATTGCCGTTCTCATACATGATCGTGCTGAATCTTGGCATTTGAAAAATTCAACAGGATGATTTGATCGGGACTCGGAAGCCGATGAGCCTTACTGCATCCGACAGCTGGTTTGATGAGAATTTCCTGGAAGCGAACACCGGTGGAATGATCTAGTGATGGTTATTTTCATGCAATGCTACCTTTGCTTGGAGACTATTGATGCTCAGCACCCTCGAGCTATCAATTTGAGGTATAGAATGATTGGGGACCTGGCAATCTATCCCGTTGGCTAGAACGTCATTTCGAAATAGGGGATTCCGGAACTTTAATGTGAGGTGATGTATCTTTATTATTCTTGTTCATAGATGATATGCATGCATAGATATGAATCCAAAGAGATACGTCCCAAATAACCGTTTCTATTATTGTCAGTATTCCAATATATATAGTGTAACTGTCACGGCACGTTACTCCGAGGTCGTCATGTCGTTGTTGGAAACGAACATAATTGATGGTTGGTTAATAAGGTGGTTATCATAGAGAATGATCAATAAGAAATGAATAATAACATCATTGTCTCCAACAGACCAACAGTCCAACAAACCAACAGTCCAACAGAACCAAACTTGCGGGTCTAAGCAGCCTTATCAATTCCTATCAAAACGGTGTCAGCATGGTAACTACTCCGTATGGACTCCATAGTATAGGGTATCAGGGTATCAGGGCATCTACTAGGTTAGGTCCCGGTATCCCTTGAAGAATGAGTTCGAATTCTTTGGTAAGCTTAATTGTTTCTCTCCACCCGCGAAGAAGCTTATAGGGTGGATCGAATGGATTTCGAATGGATCGAATGGATATAAGATGAAACCTCGGGGAAATATTGGAGGGCGTGGCCTTCACCGCCACCAACGCGCGGGAGATTCTGTATGTACGAAGGATGGATGTTGGTGTGTATCTCCGTATATATCTATGTATAATAAGGTTTTGCGTATATCTGCTCTTCCGTATTGGATCAATCTTATCATGTCCCCTCCACCTTGTAAGACCTTATAGCAGAATGACGAAAGTCCAAAGTTGGGGCGAATGAATATTTGTCATGAAATAAAAGGTTTTGTCTATAATGAATAAAGTCTAGATTTATTTGAATGTTCGATCACCTCCGAAAAGAGACTTCAGCAGTACACGGATGCTACTTTACACTTCCGGACCAGGCTCGGAATGTAGGTAGAAATGATAGATCAGGGAGAGGTCGATAGTTAATTTTACATTGAATTACCTAGTAGGTAGTTTATAGAATATTGTAGGTAGTACAAATGCTAGGTAATATCAATATCAATATCAATACCAATACCAATATCAATATCAATATCAGTGGTAGTAATAGTAACAGACAGCAACCACGTCCCAATAATAAATCTATGAACTTATCATGAGGGTATCAACAAATGAATCCAATATACTATGATAATATTGACATCTCTCTCTCGTTCGTTACTTAGTTACCTCCAAACGGGCACTAATGAAATCATCGATATCGAGAATCATGTAACGGTGACCCCGCATTCACCCATTCACATCATTCGAATCAAACAAATCAATGTTATCAATGACAAGTTCTCATGCAACATACAACATGCAACATGCACTTCAATGAAAGATCCCCCAATAGAAACCCAACGCTAAAAAGCCAGCGTGGGAGAATTTTCTTCTTCAATTGCCGCACATCCCCACTTTCTCACGTAAATCCTTGTACGTATGGAATATCTTCCAACTGTCATTTTCAAGAGCGAGCGATGGATGTATTTTCGTACACGTCGTTTCGCTATGTGTGTATTACGGAGTACATCTCCTCGACCTGTACCACATCCTGTACCACATATTGTACTACATACCGTACTAACTGTACTACATCCTCCTCCTCTCATCTCGTCTCATTTGTTTGTCATTTCTTAAAGTTCCCACTGTTAGGCTAAAATTGGCGAACGATTGACATAATCCCCGGTCTTTTTCCGTTGGCATAGACTTTGGTGTACCCTAATGCAGGTTTGCGATTGTTTATTGTCAGGTTGAAAATAGAAGGTCTTGGGTCGATTGACCAGCCTTGTTGAACAATTTTCCTTGGTGGTGTCACCATTTCATTCGTGTAATTGCTCTTTTGAGAGGTCATATTCGACAGGGGATCAACATCTGGGGTCGAATTGCTGGTGGAAAGACCCAACGTGTTTGAGCCCTTACCGCTCCTGTCCTTCATCATATTTGCTCTTCGCCGAAAGATATATTGCCTGTTCTTTCTGCCGGGTCTTTCAAATGTGAGTTCGTTCCTTCCATTTGTTGGCCCATATTACTATACATATTTTCTATAAAACCCACATGACTGTGTGAACTTCACATAAAACGTTTGGACTTTTTTATTTGTCCTTGCGCACGATGTCGTCGACAATGGATCAAAAAGTTAGCCTTGAACTTATGGTTTCTACCATGACTGACAAGCCAGACATCGTGGATAAGCCGGTGGATAAAATGACTACCATCGAGAATGATGATGAGAGGTTGTTGAATCGAATTGGTTATACTCAAGTTAGCCCTCTAATACTCTGTCTTCTTTGTGATTTTCACTAACAATAATCAAGGACCTAAAACGACATTTCTCAAAATGGTCTACATTATCCTATGCAGTCTCTGTTCTTGGTGTGTTGGGATCTGTTCCGGCTACCTTTGGAAGCCCATTGAGTCTTGGTGGACCAGCCGCTTCAGTTTGGGCATGGTTCTTTGGATCAATGATGGCTCAAATCATATCAAGTTCAGGTTAGGAATCTTCAATCTAAAGTTTGACTCTTGCTTAAACTTTCAATAGTATCGGAACTAGTCTCAGCATATCCGACGGCAGGTGGGATGTATTTTGTTACGAAAAATGTTGTCCCGGAGGAACATTCTGCCATTTGGAGTTGGGTTATTGGATGGTGTAATTTATTGGGTCAAACTGCTGGTGTTGCCAGTGTGGGATATACTGTCTCTCAACTTATCCTAGCAGCTGCTAGTATGAACTCTAATTTTAATGAGATCACAGGAACATATTCCTATTCGCCGTAAGTTGAAGGTCAAAGCTAAGACTTTATTTACTAACAGCTTTATAGAACTGCTCTACAAACAGCCCTTCTCTCGTGGTTAATCCTCATTATTTTGGGAGTAATATGTTCCCTAACAACAAAACGTCTTCATCAGATCGTAACCTGGTTCATGCCCATCAATGTCCTAGCTTCAATCACAATTTGCATCGCACTACTTGTTCTAACTCCGAATAAACAATCAGCAACATGGGTATTCACTCACTTCACCAATGGATCTGGATGGGGAACACCATTTTCATTTTTCCTCTCCTTCTTATCCGTAGCATGGACCATGACCGATTATGATGGCACAACTCACATGTCAGAAGAAACACATGATGCGGCAACTCGTGGACCCATGGCTATTCGATGGGCCGTTACAATTTCTGGAGTCGTTGGTTGGATGCTCACAGTTACATTTTGTTTCTGTACCACCGATCTCGATGCTATTATTAATTCACCAACAGGAATGCCAGCTGCTCAAATCTTTTTAAATGCGGGAGGAAAAGGAGGAGGAACCGTGATGTGGTTTTTTGTCATTCTAGTTCAATTCTTCACTGGATGTTCTGCTATGCTTGCAGATACTAGAATGGCATATGCATTTGCTAGGGATGGAGCTTTACCATTTTCAAAGTATGTCCTCAATTTCTCTTCCTTTATATCGTTTTAGTGTTTCAAATTTTCAAACATCAAAGTCCCATAAACTAACATCTCAAAAATAGATTTTGGTCCAAAGTAAACCCCTACACACAAACCCCAGTAAATTCCGTCTGGCTCATCGTCTTCTTAACCTGCGTTCTCAACACCATCGCTATCGGTAGTACCACGACCATCGTAGCCATTTTTAACATCACCGCCCCTGCACTCGACATGTCTTACGCCGCTGTGATCGTCGCTCGTAATATCTACGCCTCACGTGTAAAATTCATCCCTGGTCCTTACACACTTGGAATTTGGCAAAAACCTCTCAATGCCATTGCATGTACTTGGGTACTTTTTATTAGTATAGTACTCATGTTCCCGACGATTCGACCGGTTACCATGGAGAATATGAATTATGCCGTGGTAGTAGGAGGGGCAATTGCGGTATTTAGTTTTGGATGGTGGTGGGCTGGTGCGAGAAGGTATGTTTTTTTTTTTCTTCTTTATTCTTCTCCCAATGTTGTCCCGGGACGATACGAGATATGAGATACAATGACACCGAAACTAATATCGCGATAAAATAGAACTTATACAGGACCGAAAACAAAAGATCTCATACAATCTATCGCTACAGAGGAAGGAAATTATGAATCAGATCAAAGACCGGATTATGGCAGTATGAATAGTCGTTGATGTCAGACATGTAATTGGGATTTGTAATAAGTATTAGGGCGTTCTGGAGTAGAGTGAAATGAAGATGTAATTCTTAGATTAGAAAAGAATTTTTTTCTAACTGGGGTTAGATAGATGAATATTAATAAAGATGTTTTTTATATTATTGATGAATTAAAGAAATAATTTAAAAATAATATATTATATCTAATTTATTTAATTTAATTTAATTTAAAATATGAAATATGAAAGTTTTATATTCTTACATTTTACTACTATTATAAACTATTATATATTATTAATAAGTTATAAATTATGAAAAACTTCAATTATACTCTCGTATAAATAAATTCTACCAAGATAAACAATCATTCCAATCTCCTGTTACGTTGCAACATTATAACTATTATCACGTGTTATAGGATCACATGAATAGTCTTGTGAGGGAGCGAGGGAGCGAAGGAGCGAGATTCGAATCTCGCTCCCCAGCTCCATCGCTCCAATGTGTAACGATGCTGTACTAAAGGCAGCGGCTGCCTGAGGTTCGTCGGTTGGTATTTATGGGTTAAGGCTTTATCACTGGTATTCACTTGAAAGTGAATTCGTTACTAGATCGAGTAGAATGTAGGTAGACTAATTGATAACTAAGTTGAGCACGAAGCTCCTATACTATGAAAATAATGAATGTTTATATACTGGTCCTTTCCAGGAGCCTGGAGGAGCCTTGAGGAGCCTATGCTCCTGGAGGCTCCATCACGTGATCTCTACTTGTCCCACGTGATAGTGAATCGTGACAGATTGTTTCGAAATAGTTAGCAGTTTTAATTTAGCTACTAGTTATAGAAAAATTATAATACATGAGGCTAAAGCCTAAATGTCTTTAGGCCAAATAAATCGTCTTTAGACGTAAAAACTTTTGAAAAATGAAATACAAAAAACAAACGTCTTTAGACGTGAAGCCGTTTGGGCAAAAATAACAAGATTGCTTAAGAGCGGACAAAACTTGACTATAGTCAATTTGCTACTGGCGCTTATCTCCTCTATCTTTCTTCCATGCCGAAATATCAAGTACCCGACCTCGTGTTTTCGCCTCGTCATCCTCAAGATGACATCATCCATATTGGTCAAGGTCGAGCCCCGTGCTCCGAGTGAGTTCTTTTCCCCTTGCTTTTGTGAGCTAGAAGGAGCAGGAACAAGGGCAGAAGTATTGCTAGACGGATTAAAAGCATCTTCATCTCATGTGGAAGTGGAAGTATTTCCACCTTTACCACCTTTACCACCTTTACATCGATAACCAAAAATTTTTCGAGGGTCTGGATTATTGAGATGGGGAAAATTCTTCTTGGCATGGTTGAAGAAAAGTTTAGGTGTGGCATTTGCCGGTAATGGGTCTCTGGGTGAGATTCCTCGGGTATTCTCTGCTATTCTGCCTATGTAACAACGAGATTTTGGAACGCTTCCCCTACTCTCTGGCATGGGATAAGACACCAACTGAGGAAATTATTAACCTTGAGCCACTTTTGGAAAGGGGTTTGGTCCGTTGGAAAAGCGAGATTTCTCCATTCGACCCAAATAACGGCGTGAGTCATAAAATTATGGCATCTAATTCTAAAGTCTTCCCATCCGGGCTTCGCTTGGAGTTGGAAAAGGGATCATAGGGTGTAATTTGAGCCGCACTTCATAGCACGACCGCCATTTATGGAATACGTATTTATGGAAAATCAAGGATAACCAGAAGGTTCCCACCATAATTGAGGTTGACCTCGGAAATCTTTGCTAACCACAAATTCTTGTTCGATGACCGATCGAATCGCGACAGAATCTTGAGTCCACTCGAGCGGTCTATCATGAATTTCAATGATCACGCCTTTTGGCAGAACGTATGCTATAGGAGTAATGGCTTGAGTGGAATTGATGGGAGGAGCCGCAGGAAGAGCCCCGGGAACATTGTTATTGGCTGCCGCATATGCATCAAGATCTGATGATGGCCATCGGCGCACTAGTAATGCTACATTTGAAGCTGTATGTGATGCTTCATTGGCTGGTTGAGCATTTGCTCGAGGAAGAGGTTCGTTGTGAGCAGTGACAGCTGGTAGTACAGTTGCTGTCGCCGCTACACAGGCAGCATGGTGCTCATCGCGTAGCTCCTGAGTTGGACCAAATCCAAGGTATAGAAAATTGGGGTTCTCCTTGATAAATTTGGCTTCCTCTTCGTACTCAACGATTGCATTCGATATGTTAGTATATATGAAATAATATCAGTGAAAGGCAGAATCACTTACAGCAGTATCGCTAGACATTTCGCTTAACGATGAACGCAAATAAATCTTTAGGCCGCATTGGGATGTTGGCGTGAAACAAGTCGATGGGTGATTGTTATAATTTGGTTTAGATCATTGCCAATCATAGCTGTGGAAATTGGGAATAACCCCTTAATGATTACAGATTGTGAAGCTCCCTGTACTTGGGGGAAGATTCCCAGGTTTGGATGTTTGCCATGATGGCGGCGTCTGTTGCCATGTGGCAGGAGATGGTGCTGTAACAGCGAATAAATTGAATGTTTGATTTTTGGTAAGATGAGATCTTCTATCATTATTATTATGGTGGCTATATGGTGGTTAATGTGTTGTGATTGAAGGTATGGTGATTAATATATTGGGATTGAAACTGACAAGAATGTTATTGGCTTTTGAAATATCTAGTGTGTAGGAAAATAAATTCGATCTAACTCTGTCCGGAACACACCTTTGAGCGTTGAATTTGAAAAATGAGATAGCCGATCTTATCAAATATTGTGATATATAAGGAAGGCACAGCCTTCTCTGTGAGGCTCTCCAGGGGATTATAATTTTCTCTATAACAATACATACACCATTCCTCAATCATCTGGAATAAAATACTAAATCATATGATTCACGGATTACAAGAATTTAGCTCCAAGCTCTACACACTGCAGCATCATCAAGATCTAGGCGTACATCTACAAGCATCAAAGCATGCGCAAATTATAAAGCAGACTCTACGTAAACGTTTATAGACTCATGATCATCATTGTTCTATTCTAGATCTAAGTCCCTAAGACATTTCTCCCGTAGACTAACTTGAGCGCCAAAGCTGTACATGTCTGTTTGATGCAAGCAGATATTTATCTTTATCTCCCTTCCTGTCAACACTCTGCTATCACATAGTCAACCACACTTCCGATAAATTGAGGAATCTAACTCAGGACTCAACAACCTAGTTGAAGGCACGGCGATCCTGCCGTCGACAATTATTTTACGGATTCCCAGCAAGTTAAAACATTCAGTTGAGGAAATCATTCTAGGTGGAGTTCATACTTGAGACAAAAGCAGAGAGCTCAAATATTATAACTGACACCTATCTCCCGACTCGGATAGTCAAAAGCCGTCTCGATAAAGTGGTAAACCATGGTCCAGTCTCTGAACTGTATCCGTTGGCGACGTTTCTTTTGCTCTTCCGTCAAACTAGCAATCTTGTTGAGATCAACCTCAAGAAAATCGATGGGTTGTTGTGGAGTAGATGGATATTGACGACGACCATTTGATAATCTGGGCGTAACACGGCGCGATGATCTGTATTTCTGAACATGAAATTCCTCAATATCTCTTCCGCAATTAACCATTGAGAAGAGTTCACGTCTAGAGTCTCCAGACTCGCTGATTACACTCGGTATGGCGGTCCCTCGAACACAACTGTTCTTGACAACCTGATCTTTGACAGCCTTGGTATGCTCCACTTGTCCCTCGCTTCTTGCCGTGTACTTGCGAATCTTGTCTTGCCTCCAACTATTCAAGAGAAACAGATCACTAGGATCGTTCCAGTTAAATGGTTCACCAGAACAAAAACCCCAATTGTAGAATATCTGTCGAGATAAGCCGGGCTCCCTTGAATGCACCAATCCGATACGCATTTTATTTGGTTGTGCATCACCGACTAGTGCTTCAGTAACGTCTTGCTTCTGCTTGAGTGTCCATCCATGTTGTTTCCCCCATTTTCCACCATTTTTTGTTCGAGAAGCGGGTGAAATTGGTGGATCCATTTCCTGGGTGATTTTTGGGAATGAAGAAAGAGTTTTGCTACTTGAGATTTTGGGAATCGACCTTTCGAGGATTTAGGGATGGCTTTTGAAAATTTATTGTTAATCTGAGAATTGTTAGAGACGCAACAAAGTCACATAGGTATACATAGGAATAGTTACCTTAACTGCAGATTGTAATTGATCGAAGCTGGTATAGCGAGCTTGAGAAGCTATGAGGTTGTAAGTAATAAAAAGAGAATTAGTTGAAAGAGACCTTTAGGCTTTAGTACTGAGGCTGTGCAAATTTCAATTGGATGGGTGATGGAGCTTGTAAATCACTTTGAAAGATGGGATGATTAGACTCACATTAGACGAGTAAACTAATAAGATAGTTTTCTCTAATGAAGAGATATATCGTTTGTTCATTTTTTCTATTACTCTATCTCTACAAATATATACTATTCTCATTAGCGACTCATGCTAGAACCCGCGAAGTCAATTCTACAGCCTGGTAATCATAGTGTCTGCTTCAATATATTAGTATTAAAGTTTTATATTCATGATGAAACAGTCATAGACCGTGCCAAATTCCATATTAAACTACTATTAAGATAGGTTTATTATTATTATGTCGTGCTAATTATCGTATATCCAATGCTAATTCCTTGTACCTTACATCCTCAATAATCACTAGAAATGTCCCTATTCCTCGTTTAGCGGGCTATCAGGATTGTTTGGCCCCTCATTGACAAGCTCACTTGCATCACTGTCAACCATATTTGTATCATTCTCTCCATTCTCATCATCTGAAGTCGTTTCAGAGTCACTGAGATCAGTACCACAGTCTAGATATTCTGGAGTCTTTCCATGATTTTTCCTGATCTCCTCCTTGATTTTTTCTTGGATATCAGGCCAATGATAGAGTATACTCTGAATTTCAGAGCTTGAGCGCTTTGGAAAGTATCCCTCTATCTTCGTGAATCCACCAGCTCTAATCACGGGAACGTTGTCGATGGTGAGAGTGCATGATGTCAAATGGGCCAAAGGCAAGCCGGGCAGCCTTTTGTGGTGGAAGAACTCCTCACTCTGGGCGTCTGCAATAAGCTGCCAGTCTTCTTCGTCAAGTTTAGTCTTTTTTGCCTTCACAGCGTCCATGATATGCGCCTCTAAGTATGCTCTTTCCCATTCTGTCCATTTATCTGCTTTTGGCTTAGGTGGAGTAGAGGATGAGCCCTCCCTAGCAGCGGCAGGGAAATTATCGGGGAGTCTTCGACGTAGGATAGAGTTTGCCCAGTCATTAAGCCGTGCAATAGTGACATTTCCGCTTAATTCCGACTTTGAATCGCGCCGAGCTCCTGGGTACTTGTACTTCCATAATTGACCATTGTCAGCTACCAGCTTGACTGTGGCTGGGACGACCTTTCTAAACGGATTAAGCCTCACAGACGCATTTTTCGCGAGGCTAAATGTTACTCCACGGCTTGCGCGTGTCGCTTTGAGTTGTTGACTGGAGGAGACAGGATCCTGTTAATAAAACGGTTAGATATTATACAACGACACTATTAATCAGTAGATACTCACAGCAGATGATGGAAGAGGGGATGTTACTGGGAAGCTGGGAAGGATTGTACGCTGTCGTGGGTGTCGCATCTTCCTAGCATTTGGAATCTTCGTTTTTGACCCTATTGGACGCCCTCTCTTTCTTCCCGGCTACTTTCAATATTAAAATAATATCATACCAAGAGCAAGAACAATACATACCGGAACTAAAACACCAAATGGGCTTTGAGTAGTAATACTTGACCCAATCGCTGTGCCCTTTGATGCAAGTGATTCTGCTGGTAATACCATGCCCCTTGCAGCAGATAAGCCCAATTGCATCTGAGCACGTTGTCTTAGATTTGGTGGCAGCTGAGTAGGGTAGTTTGAATTGTCATTGGGATTTAGTGCATCTGTAAGTGGGTTATAATTAATAGGACCTGAATACTTAAAATTTCCAGGCGGAACTTGCTCATAATTTGAACGAAAAGCTTGCGCTGGGTGAGAAAATGGCACCGGTTGTTCATTTTGGAGATTTATCGGAGTAAACTGAGATTCTGGCCTGCCTCGAGATGTCATAACTCTTCCAGCTACCTGGTTAGGAGATGATTGTTGTCTCGAGTGAAAATATGCTGCTGACGAGGGAGATGAGCCGCTTGTATTTGTATTAATGGTATCGGAGATTTGTTGCGGTTTGGGAATTGTCTGAGACGGTGACTGCAAATTATAAGAGCTAACTGGTGGGTGATATGACTCTGACATCTGGCTCTGGTTAGATGTCCTACCAGGTACAGGACCACTAGACAGTTGCTGTTGGCCTCGGGGATTTCGTGAACCTAGACTAAGGGATGCAGAGTAGCCCGAGCCCGAGCCTCTTTGTTCTCTAGCAAGCTGTGTTGGAATATGTGTTGTGCTTGAAGTTCTATGATGACGGCTTCCAATCAATCCACCGCGCTGCTGACTCCATTCTCTGGCAGGAGGCATTGGAGCCGATGCATCATCTGATGACCCTGTATCTCTTCCCTCGATTGACATCAAAGGCTCATCTGGATTTGGGCCAAATCGTGAAGTCACCGCACCCTTGTTCTGATTTCTGCCTTCCATCACGCCAAGAATTATACCATCAATAGTCGCCAAAGATGTTAGACAGATAGTAAGGACATTGTGTATAGTTTTGTAATTTAGAGAAATAGAAGATAAGTCGGAGGTCTTCTATGCAAAAATTGTTGTTAAATACACGAAGTTGATTTTGAGGAAATTGTTGACTCAGAATACGTAGCTGGGAGATGTCTATTCATAGTTAAATGAGCTTGGAAAAAACGCTAGACACATTATCTAAACGATGACAAGGCTATGGCAGATGTTCTTAGCTCCATTTTCCTCTTCGTGACATGTTTAATTGAATATAACAGTCATACAAGGCCGCTTTTTAAGGCTCATGAGCGGAGCATGCCATACAAGGCTTTGGTGCCAGGTAAACTGGTAGGAGGAAAGGCTAACGGCGTCATTCTTATACAACCCAACATAGTATCATTTGGAAGTCTTTCACTACCCTTCTCACTAGCGCCGGTATATTACTTTCGTTATGAGCTTACCCTCAACTGCTGTCCCACATTTGACAAATCTTAAGGTTTATATCGAAGATTTTTATGCGTTTAAGGATATTATTGGTCAGGCTCTGGGTCCTTGATATGCGTATAACAAAGAGTAGGCTCGTTGAGGAGTTTAAGCTCTTCAGATATTGTAATTTGTTAACTAACTTGTCGAATAGCCCTCCTCTTCTCTTCCATTCTGTCCTAATCAGCTTCTGCCTCTGTACTACTCATCCGCCTATTTTCTACTATGACAAGATGCTTTCCCAACCACGTAGTCTTTAATCCATTTAAATCCCTAAGCTCTAACGATCTCTAAATTTGCACCAGAATAATCCACCAGCCACCAGAGATATAAAAAGCCTAGGGAAACATCAAATTAGCTTCAACCGAGAAGAAACAGAGTGGAAACTAGGTAGAATTAGTCTAAGTAGGACCAAAGCCCATTGCACAAGTAAGAAGACTGTGAAAATATTAACCTCGTATACCAACAGCTTACACTGTGGCTTTGATACTCCTTGCTCTTTTAGAGTGTATGCCAACCTAATTATATTCCTCTAATCCCGTTCTTTCATTAACATTCTCTTATCCACTCTTCTCCCTTTAGAAATGTGCTGGATATAGCCTGCCGCGACGCCTCTTCCTTACCAGCCTCTCTGACGTCTTTAATTCTCTCGTGGAATACACCATCAGCAGCTGATATCTCTACTCGAAACTTAAACCGTGTATTATACGTGTAACTTAAATTGTACTGTGGTATAGTGTGTCTATCTTTTAATGTGCCTCGAGATTACCTTATAACTTATACTATCACCCTCCAAGCGAGATGTTTCGCAATATTGTGCTATTCTGCCGCAAAATGTGTCACAAAATTTGCTCCTCTCTTGTCACTCTGTTAACCCCAGGCGTATTTACCTCTACCCCTGATTGTTCAAATTTCATGAATCTGGATTCTTCGTTCTACTGGCATTTTTGCAAGCAGTTGTTCCCTGGGTCTCCTCTATTGACACGCAGATTGACTTGACATATGGTCTCTCACTTTCCACCTCTGCCTTCTAGTTACGATTATTTTGGTCATGTTTCTCCTTTGTTAATTCCACTTGCTAACTCTTTCTATTTAAACTAGGTCGTTTCTTCCTTTTACTTAACTCAAAACAATAATTTGAATTTCTCCTCCTCGTTCCGTCTGCTCCCTATATTCTTCAAGTTTCGAATTTCGCGACAATTGCGCAAAAAAGCCTTCTCAACTTCATCATTCTGATCTTTGAAAGTCACAATTTCTGTGACGCCTAACCCGAAGGCACCAAGAGCAATTCCTCTTCTCCAATGCCACAGAAATGCTGTCACTCATTACATCTAGTCGCACAGCCGCCGATATCATTGGGCTCTAAGCAATCATGGCTTATGTTGAGACAATTAGTTTCAAAGAGGAGATACTCGTATCATTTTCACGGATCATACATAGGAAACAGTTGTGATACCGAGCTGGAAAAAGCAGATAACACATCCCAATACACCTTTTTGTGCGACAAACTAGAGTGGTCAGCAACTATCATAGAACTTCTTGGCTTTAAATTACACTTACCTTCAAATAAGTACCGTTTATGCCCTCTTCATGGGTCATTAAGCTAATTTGACAGTAGTTGTGACACTATTCACACAAACTTCCCGAGAACACATCAACACGGTTCAAGTCCGATACTATCTCCAAAGCATCTGAAACATATAAGTGGGATGGGGCAGGGCGTGAGAGGTCATCAACCAGAGAAGCCAGGTATCTGTTTGGCCCTATGGTGAAAGAAGGTTTAAAAATGGAGCCTTGAGGAGGAGAAAGCTAGGAAGTGCCAGAAAAACGTCAAATTCTTCGAAAATCCATGCACTAAAACAATGATGTATACGAACGGGGCATTCAATACAAGTGAGCTACAAAAATTATCCGCTGGAAAATTTACAAGATAGGAAGGCACCTCTGGCAACACTTTGAATCAAGATCTTCGTACTTGCTTGCCCTTCTTCTGCGAAAAGAACATACTACTCAAACATCCACCAAAACAGGCTTGGAGTCTCATCTACTGCTTTTCTGTTCAGAGAATCGCCGGAGCTGTCTAGTTTGCTTGCATTTCACATCAATTCAACACACAGGATCGTGAAAAGCCACGGACTATTCCATCTACAGAAATGCCCTGCTAAATGGCTTGACGCGGCGATCAACGATCATCATTTTTGCAAGACTAGACTTTCAGTGGTTCACAAATTATTGAGATGTATATGCGTGCTTTCAGGGACTACAGGCTCAATATAGGGTCCAAGCTACTACTAGTCAAACTTTCATATACCGTTAAACGCTGTAGTACGCCGTGTTTTATCACTTAAATTGTATTATTAGGCCAAATTAGATGTGTATTTAGCTATACTCAGAGCATTCCTCCATGCAATTAATGAACTTTGATATTATTATTTGATGAAATCGGGGTTTGAGGGTATCGGACAGAGGAGACACCCTACAAGGGAATCCGGGTAGCTAAGAAATTATATGTATATTACATTTTGAGCACAGCCTGTAACATGCTAATAATCTAGGAATAATAACAAATAGATTAGTATATAATGATGACCAAGGTATTTCGTAAAAGTGCGTCCCTACTGGAATAGGGAATGATTCTCACAAACTTTTTTCCTCATATATATCAGGATGATGAGCAAACCTGATTAGAAGAGTCCTTCTCAAAGCCAGTTAGTTATTTATAAGTCTTTATTTGAGAGAAAGATGTATTTTTGAGGTGAATTAAAAAAATAAATTAGATATTTGAAAAGGTTTTTTTCTTTAAAAATATATATTATAGTTTTTATATAAATCTAAAGGGTATGGAAGTAATTACTTTTTTTTTCTTTTTTGAAAAATATAATAATATTAGAATCTAATTTCTTCTGATTAGAATCTAGAGGGCACAAGAGTAACTTTTTTTCCAAAGTTCTTGTGAATAAAATTTTGAGTTTTGAATATTTATATTTTATTAAATTTATCTCTAAAGAGACATGTATAATAATAAACTAATAAAAGTATTTTTATACATAAAAGACAATCTTATATATAAGTATTCAAGTTTGTTTAAATGTTTATAACAAATACTTATATATAAAGCTGTCTTTTTTAACACGTGTTAATTTTTTTTATTTTTTTTAATATTCTTAATCTTTACAATCTTTTTAATCACTATAATAATTCTTAAATAAATTGTTTATCTCTTTACAAATAAAAAATGAAAGAAAGAATATACATACTAATATAATTATCGAAACAAATTATCCCCATCAACAACATCAGACAACAATAAAAGCAACAGGACAAGTCGTACTCCTATCATCGCACCATATCATCTCACCTTATCTTATCCAATATCCAATAATAAGCCCTATTCATCTCAAGCTTAAAGCCAATCCAGATCCAGCCACAACCTCGGCCTAGATTCACCAAAATTTTGAATTTTCACTCTTCAAATTCAATACTCACAAAACTTGATTAGCGTTCTTGGTGAAAGCTCAGAGTCTCACTTTTGCAGATTTCAATTTATATTCTTTATGGTTGTCTTCTTGTAACAACTCCTCCATAATAAACCCTATTTCACCTCACCATACTCTCTTATCGGCTTGATTTGTCTTTAAAATTTGACATTGCTGTCCAAAGTTGCCAAGGGCTTCCCCAACTTTGCAAAGATCAGAGTGGTAAGTGAAACTCTTTGTTTACATACTTTGCACATGCTGATAGCATTTGTTTTGATCTAGGTGATCGTGTTGTCTCTCTATATACTCAACCCTACGAAAGAGATTGATTGATCCAGCACATACTTTTACTTCCTGGTAGTAAATTGGCACATCAATCCACTTGCATCATTTCCTTGGACAGGAATAAATTATCATAATGGTATGTTCAGGACGATATCCTTTATTCTTCAAGTCAACAGCACATCCTTTTCCTTCGTATCCATGATCATGTATGGTCGTGTGTGTATAACACACGTCGTCACCCATCAAATATTCATGCATACCACTTTCCTACTCTAGATCTCTATCATAACAACTCGCACTCTGTCGGACAATTAGCGCTAGTGAGCGCTTGAATTTCAATTTATATCCTCAAGATATCATTTTTCTTGGCATGTCAACCTCAGTAAGCTCATCTCCTAGGACTACGGTTGCAATTCCCTCAATATCGTTGGTCATAAATTGCGATTTGTGGCCTCTTTGTTTGGCATGTCTTCCGGAGGAATCTGACTGCTCTTCACACATTGAATCCACTCGTACTTTCCGTCTGACCCATCTCATTCAAAAGTTCACTTGAATACTAGCAGTTATCTCAGCTCTAATTTGCCAACCTTATTAAGGAAATTCTTACTGACAAATACTAATATACAACTCAGGCAGGACATCAACCACGACAACTTGTGAAACCTTATCCCATTCCCGAAGCACCGCGATGCCGTCCCCGGGAAATCACGAACCACACGAATGGGCATTATTGCGACATATGCAATAGAATAAAGATGCCCTGGAGAGAATTTCTACCAATTGCTCGATGTCAGGGTTTGCCCGTATCCATTGGAAGACCAGGGACAATTCTACAAGCCGTTCAAGTTGATAGTCCACGAGAGATAGGTATGGTGGCATTCGCCACATGGGCGATCATCAATGACCAATGGGATCAAGCTGTACAAATGGACAGCGGGATTGACCGGGGACGTATAAAAGCCGCAGCTCATGCCCTCACTGATATTTCTTACATGGCGATGCAAAAGCCCGAATGGCGGGAAGTGAACTTATTTAAGTGGTGGAATATCTTACACGAAGCTCTCTTGGACCCGGAACTGACAGTGGCCGGTTACAAAGCACGTATTCGTGGTGAAAATACGCCAACAACACCCAAGGCCAAATCGAAAAATAGCAAACCAATTATTTTACCGGATGTAGAGGACTCAGAGCAACGAAACGAGAACATCAGTTATAATGATACTGATAATATACCTGAGGGGAAGAAGCTCTTGTTCTTTAGCCGTGATAGAGTTGATGATGATGATTTGGAGGATGATGACGACAAGGAATGTGAGGTGGAAGCTCTCGGTTCGAAAATCAAGCATGAGACATCTCGCTGGCAATTTGCCCTTGGCCAAGATTTGGAGCCTGCTCATTTGGCTACTCCGGATACCTCCAAATTTTTCATGGTCCGTCAGCTTCGAAAAGACCCAAACAAGATCGACGTTAGAGAATATCCTCATGTAGCTGGATTTAACTGGAATGATAAAGAGGTCGTAAAAGCTTTAAATAGAGGAAGAAACCAGATCATCCTTCGAACTAATGGTCCTAAAGTACCAGCTAGATTGGCATGGTCGCAAATTGAAAAGGATCTCTTGCGCCACCAAGTAATCAAGGGTCTCAAACATGGCGTAAGTCCTCTTACTCTAGCCGATCTTATTCTGTGTCGACTTACTTAAAATATCCGCTGAGATTTCCATTACAGTACACGAAAAATAATATGCCATGGAATCAAGTTGCTCATAATATCAATGTCGATTTGGAAAAAGTCACTCAAAGACAAGGCTCCTCCCTCGCCAGACCAAGCAAATGGAATCCTAAGACAAAACAACAAGACTACCACACAAAGATACACCTCAAAATGCAAAAAGATCGTACTGGTTCCGAACGTAATGCGACTGGCTGCATGAATCAGTCCAACAAATTTGGCGACATCGATGCACTACTTCGAAACAGTGTAGAACAGCCGAACAGACGTGAGACTTTAGACCAGATGCTCAAGATGATTCATGATGCCGATCATCTTAGTCCACTTCCCAGAGTTCTTTCCGCTGCTAGTGTAGGAGAAGATGTTGAAATGCAACTGGAGGATGGAGGAGGATCTTCGGGCGATGAACCTTCTTCCACGCAAAGTGATGGAATGCAGACAGATGGCGTCGATGACTATTCAGATGATGAGTCACTCATGAAGCGTAAGAAATCAGATCTTGTTGCTAATAAGTCATTGGGCAATGAAGCTCCATGACGCGCAGAAAGTCAGAAAATGTCAATAAGCCCGGGCATTCATCACGCACGGTACGAGACTCTTTCACTTCATCGTCACTCCTTTTCATGTAGGTGTATTCGCTGTTCTCTAGATCCTTACCGGCAAACCATGCGTCATATTGGCACTACAAAGTTTTCCATCAGTGCCAATCAAGAGCTTCCGTGGCGAAGACCTAAGTCTTCTATTTTCTCCGGTGTCCAAAGAAATTTCGTCATTTCAAAAGGGTTTCATGTCGTCTGACGGTGGAAACTTGATTTTAATACGATAAAAGGGTGGTTTAATGATAGCAAGGTGGAGATATGTATAGAGACAGATGGTTGGTCGGTAGTCTAGAGCGATTGGATTCTTCATTGTTGTTGGATTGCATGTTTAGTTTTCGTTTGATATCGTTTGCACATGTATGCTTGGGGGTTCGGGTAGTTGATTCCTTATGATCGTAGAGAGTGACATCCGTTGATAGGTTTAGAATATTGATTCCAAATTAAGGATTTAAAATTCTCTTTAGTTTTGTTTCGATGGTAAGAAATGAAATAAACTATGTCAGGTCACATGATCTCCCCGCAACTGCTAAGGTTCGACAAGACAATTGTCTAGCCAATCAAAATCACGTTTCGGCAAAGATCGACAAATCACGGCGATCCCTGAGCATTGATCACCTGATGAATCGTGAAGGGGTGCTTAACCGAGGGGTCTAAAAGATCTAGACGCCAACTAATTTTAAAAGTTTCTTCTAAAGAGCCGGTGCTCCAACCAAAATGGATTAAGGAAAAGCCACATTCAGCCGCAACTAGCAAAAATTCGCGGGTCAATCCACTTCTCCCTATTGTATCTTATTTGGAACTATTGAGACTGGAGACAGATGTGGAAATTATGAAGGTTTTGATATGTTAACCGACCATATTGGTCCTTTGATGAGCTTCTCCATCCGAAGCTAGAAAAAGAATAAGCGTTTGAACGCGGGATTTATACACCTACTTGTCTTGTTTGGGCTTGGGGACCGCGTTGTCGGATTAGGCCCACCATATTCTTCTCCATGTGCATCAGGGTCTTCCCACATGTATGGAAAGAAGGAGAAATAAATGCAAGCAAAAACATGAGGGTTCGCTTTGCAGACAGGGTGTTTGCACAAGTATCATCGCCATCAAGCAGTAGATATGAGCAAAATCTACCATGCACGCACAAATGATTTAGTGTGATATGTATAGTGCTTCGCCTCGTGGCAGAAAGTGCAAGTCAGCACGGCTCTCCCCGCAAACAATTACTATGCTCTTCCTCAGGAACGTGCACAAAATGTGACTAGTTAGTAACGGACTATCTATACTTAGCGCAAATGTTATTCGCTTCCTTCGTGTGAGAGTTAGAGCTGAGAACTAAGTTCTCCACATGGTTATTTATACAAGATGTAGAACATTTTTCCATAGACTTCTTCATCTCCATCTCTCTTTTCAAGCGCCCACTCTTTTAAACGCTCATTCTATTCTAATTCTCATCATTCGTTTAAAGGTTTTTCTTAATTCTTCAAAATGAGAGTTTTAATCGTTCTTTCTGCCTTGACAGGCTTAAGTCAGGCTATTGCGGTCGTTCCTCGACAGTCTATCAGTCCATCAGAAGTAATCCTTACATCCACTTCGGTCAGCACAGTCACAAACACCATCATCACTGCCTATCCAGTCATCACTACAGCAACAACTTGTAGCGTAGGAACCACAGTCCCTATCGAAACCGGCTGTACCCCAGGTGCTGTATTTTCCCTGCCAGGGGGCAATTACTATTCACAAGCATGCTCCGCATCTCTATCTGGCGGGACTATCATCCGTGCCTACGTAGAGCCTATTGGACAGGCGGCTAAGAGTATATGTGCATCCTTCTGCAACGTCCTCAACAATCTCAAAACAGCCGCTAGTTCATGTAACGGAATAGTTTACACAACTATCGGTGCGCTTAACCAATGTTTTTTAAAAAATGGACCGGTCACGGCGGTATCAGCTGGAACAAGCGTATTCGCAGTTCAACAATTCACAGAAAATCCTTGTATTGCTACGATCACGGCTTCGACAACTGATACTTCATATCAGACAATTACTTCTACATATGAAATCGTTTATACTTCAACTGTGACTCCATCGGCTGCTGCTACATCTTCTATCGTCACTTCATCGGCTGTCGCGACTACTAGTTCATCTGAAGTTCCATCAGCTACCGCTACAAGCAGTTCATCCGAAATCTCATCAGCTGCCGTCACAACTTCAGCTGCAACCACAAGCTCCTCAGACATTCCATCCACAGCTTCAAGTTCTTCCGCATCTTCTATTCCCAATTTTATTTCAAACTCGACTTCGACTTCAACCTCAACTTCAACTTCTTCTGTATCTTCAACTCCTATCCCGACTATTATTTCAAATTCCACTATAATATCAAATTCGACTTCGACTTTGGTTTTAACTTCTTCTTCTTCTTCAACTCCAATCTCAACTTTAACATCAAATTCGACTAGTTCCGCAGCTGCTGCTTCGCCGAGCGCTGATGCTGATGATGATGAATGTTATTATGATGATGAGGAGGAGGAGGAGGGTGATTCTCAGTGAGTTTAAACGAGGATTGAGATTTGGTGTTTAGATGGATGGATGGATAGATACATTAACGGCTGGATGGATGAAAGAATAAATATATTAATATTTATAAAAGAAAAGAGGTAGAAATTGAGTAATTGATTGCAAGTATATTATTTATATTCTTGTATATAAGGATCTTACTTTGTATATAAATATTCAGTTTATATTTATACTTCGTTTATATCCGATAATAGATTATTTTTTATTCAAGTTAAAGAGTATAAATCTAGAAATCTATAAAAGTAATTTATAAATTTACTTTCAATATCTATCTGTGACGGAAAAGTCGTAAACGGAGTCAATTCAATCACTTAGAATCTAAAACTAAAGAACTAAGAAGATTCTAAGTAAGAAGGTCTTTATATAAAGGGCTAGTGCACGTGAGCCACTAGTGGGTAACAACCGTCACGTAACACTATCTCGTATTTATAAGTCTTATAATATAAAATCAAGAGAGAAAAACTTAGTTAATTAAAATTCAACCTAATATTCTAAAACATAATTTTTTTTTGAAAAGATTTTAGATATTATTTAATATATGAAAATTATTCTAATATTTTTTTAAATAGATTAAGTTTTCATATAAAAAAATTAAACTTTTTTAATTTTCAATATTTAAATTTATAATTGTAATTATAATATGTCTCGTAATATAAGAAATTATGTATTGATTTAAAGATTTATAAAGTGAAAAATTCAAGGGTTTTAAAGTTACAATTATTTATAAGAGATTTTGTTGACCTCCTGGGATCTTGGCAGCATATGCATATATATTGCATGATGCATATAAGGAGCAAACAAAACTCAACTTTTAATTCATTCTTTCCTTTTTGGTATACTGTTTGTTTGCTTTCAATATTTTGATTTCAAAGCACTTTAATTCCGAAGGCCGAATACCTAACTGTGACGGAAATCCCTGCTTTCCTCCCACCCTTATTATATAAGAAACCTCAGGTACATTAACCATGTCCACACATGATACGATTACTCGAGATTAGTATGCGATTTAGGTGACCTGAGGATCAGATCCGGACAAGTACTAGGTATCAATGGTTATCGGTAAAGTAAGATCATTGGAGGAATAAATATGACTTCTTTTTGCCTAGCCATTGCGGCTAGGCCATTCATTTGTGTATATATAGAGTAGCTATCCCCATCTACAGGTGCTCTTCACCTGTAGATTCTAAGTTAAATACAATTGCTGGTCTATAAACACCCTTTTGGTCACAATATTTATAATTGTAATTATAATATGTCTCGTAATATAAGAAATTATATATTGATTTAAAGATTTATAAAGTGAAAAATTCAAGGGTTTTAAAGTTACAATTATTTATAAGAGATTTTATTTATAATAAACTCAAAAGAAAAAAGTAATTAAAAGAAATTATAAGATTAATTTTGTATAATATTAATCAAAATATAAGAGTTGTATATATAAACAGGGAAAACAAGGGGTTATTAAAGTATTATATGTTAAATAAAAACTATTGCATGGATACAGACATACTATATTCAAGCTGATGTAAGATTATGTTAAGATTTTAATTTTCATACTTTTTTCATTCATTTATATTCCTATCCTTCCGTCAATTATACACTATCACAAACCAGGCCACAATCCAAAACCATAATTAACCCGAATCAATCAAAGAAAACTAGTGAATCTTAAAAATCCCCCGAACCTGATTCTCGTCCATTATCAATATCCTAATAATCCTCACCATTGTACAAATTCCTATCCTACCTTATCGCATCAAATGAATATTGGAACAATAAGAGTTGTATGTACGCGAACAGAAATTTATTTCCTCTTGCCATATCCATACCATTGTCACTATGTATCATACCGTAATGCTGTGTCGGGAGAAGAAAAGAAAGTAAGAAAGGGGGTATTTGCACTTTGTTTAAATGCCGATAGCCGGGTTTGATGATGTCATCATTTTTGATGAGAAGAATCTCCTGTAGGCGGAAATAGTCGGGGGAGTCGTGATTTTGTATCTTGACGGAGATTATGCTGAAAGCATCCTGGAGCTGTGCTGTGGAAACGTAGCACTCGTAAACCTGAAATGTTAAGCATATGTGTGTATTTGGCTCTGCTAACAGGAAGAATGAAAGTTGAATCGAGATGACGAGAACAGAGATTACAACACGATGTCCTAAGCCAAAGCTAGAAACCATGTGCAAATTATAGCAGCTCAATACAAGGACTAGATGTATACAAAGTAGAACTTCCACCATTCTGAATTCTACAACGGTCTAATTAGTAATTCCTGCCTGATTGGCGTCAAACTACCTTGCACTGCTCTTACTGAACTTCAAACTGAAGGCAGCTTTCAGAGCAGATACACCAGTAAGCGGAGGAGACGGTTCATCATTGTCATCTCCATAGTGCTTATTAATCGTATGAGGAGGCGGACTGGATGAAAAGCGGCGAATAAGAGTCTTAGACTTCTTTCTTGGTCTATTATCCTCTTCATCTTGCTCACCATCTATCATCTTTGAGGCAGTGCGGCGAGGACCTCGGATTATGCCACGACCTCCTTTGCCACCAAGTCCTGTTGCTTTGTTGATCAACTTGAGAATATCAGGGTATTTTAGCGCTTGGGTTTCCGTTGCCGAACCGCTACGATTGTAGCCTGTTCGATCACTGCGAGTGGTTTTGAGAGCTGGTTTAAATCAATACTTAGCAATCATACTTCAAATTGGAAGTGATTTCACTGTCGCTGTTCGGGCTTAAGCTTCCGAGAGCCGAAGCGCGGACTCTTTGACATTAAGAAAACAAAGCTAAAGGATTGTACTTACTCATATTCTTTTTGCCATCCTTGATCTCTCTTTCGACCCCTGGTGCCAACTTTGAACCCTTTGGCTGAAGAACTCCCTCAAACCGTTCCTTGAGACGAGCTGCAATCTCATCCCAGTTAATTGTATTTCTATTAAAACCAGCTTTAATAGCATCGCGTACCTCCTCTTCAAGACAAATCTTCTCCATCTGTGTCCACGGAATGCGTGTTTCGGCAATATTACCATGAGTTCGTTTACGATTTTGAGCCCTAGCCTTGTTAAGCCTTCTGATATGTGTCGGGTCATCCCAATTGAATCCAGCAATCTGCGCATACTGGCGGAGGTCAACCTCAAGCGGATCATTTACATTTTGACGGGTTAGATAGAATTTGCTAGGATCGGGTTTTCCGAGTTCGGCATTCTCGATATCTGTTCCTTCAATGAAGCGCCACTTGACATTGGCACGTCCTGGTGTGTTCTTCTTTACTTCTGGAAGCTTCTTGAAGTAAGCTCCTTCAAGCTCTTCCTCATCATCATTACTATCGTAGACCTCAACATCGGAATCTTCTTCACTGCAACGTGGTGTGGTGGGTGCTGAATTATGACGGCGGGAGAAGTCCAACCGACCATTAAAACGGGAGGCATTATTGTTCGTATTGTGAGCTACTGCAGGTGCTAGATAGCGATGATCATAAAATTCTTTAGCATAGCGACGACCCCATTGTGGTGCATCATGGCCAGTGCTGTGTGCTCGTCCTCTCAACCAATTTACGAATTCGAGCGTAAATTGGACATATCCTGGACCTCGGCTTTCATTCCTATCAAGATGGTTAATGAGCTGGTCAACCTCAGCTTCATTGTGGATCTGTCTGTCTTTCTTGATCGCCTCTTCTCTAGTGAGCATTACGGAAGGGCTAGTAAAAACTCGTGTCGACATTCGAAAAGGGTCTGATACGGGAGCTGTGGAATTCACTCGGCGGATGCCTTCATTCGTAGGTCGCAAGTTCCACTCCTGGGCGACTCGTGCAAAGTATTGGTCATGAGTTAAAATTGGTTCCCTCAATAACTCATGAAGAGTGTTGAACCAATGTGGCAATTGCTCACATTCATTTTCAGTTGCCAATGTTTCAAGCTCTTTGGTGAGATTTGAGATTCGACAAGCAACGTCATGCAAATTTGGGAAGAATTTGAAGCTTTCAGCGAGACCGGGAATAGTATTAAGATCTTGTAGTATAGTGCGAAATTCGATAAGTATAGCGAGCTGGGAAATCTCAAATGGTTCTGTCAGATTCTTGACTCCCTCTAGTAGTGCGCCTTGTGGGGCTTTTCGAATTTCGTTGCCGCTATCGTCGACAGCAATTGGAAGGTCATCCCCCCATGGCAGTTCCATATGACGGCAGTGAAAGCAGAATCGACCGACTAGGTGTTTATGGTCATAAGCGCAAGTGGTGCCCAGATTTTCTTTAGTAGTCGGCTGGACATGATGTGGAGAAGGCGGGTCACTAAATGATGTATCGGTAGACATCTCAATCTCGTCCCTGGATTCATTAGGTAGAGGGGTTGTATGAGAGCTCGTGTAGGACTTGTTAGTGTTATCGGATTTACTGCCATTCTCATTGCTGGGGGCAGAAGCAGACTTGCGCTCTAAATTTTGAGTGAAGGCTGCGGAATCCCTCTCCGTATCCTTGATTTTTGCTTTCGGGTGATCAACCGCAGGCATTTGCTCTTTTTTCTGGGAAGCAGCACCAGTGCTGAGGACACCCGACCCCAATAAAAGAGGTGAACTCGGAGGAACAGACATGTTTGTTCCTCTGTTTCCTTCCATTTCTTGGTTTTTCTCCTTCATGTGTACTCGTCTGTGTTCTGTTTTGGATATTTCGCTAAATGTTCAACTGAATTAGTATCAATGCTTGAATTTTCCACGAAGTAATTCAGACGAATGCCTGGTTCTCGGAACGCATGCCAGAAACAATAGGGGCCTCTGAAAGACTATCCACTGATGTAAAATAGAAATTCTTTGAGTTAGAAGTGTGTGTGAAGTGATGTGAATGGATGCGCATGAGGGGTTATGTGTTGGTACGAGATGGAGTGATGGTAGAAATGGGTGGAAGGAGGAAGTTGTGCGAGAAGTTCGCTGTTGAAGACGAACAGCAAACTTATGAAGTGAAACTATGTAACATAGGAGGGGGTCAATTGGCACAAGCATAAGAAGAAACGGTTAATTGTCGCGACGCGAGGATAAAAGCAAGAAGTGCAGTGAGCGACGAGCCTCTACATGTAAGAGAGAATTATCCTGCTAAGGATAATTCGAGGTATTGCGATCTCTTCTGCGAAAGTGCGAGATTGAAAAATGTTGAAGAAAAGGATATCCTGTGAGAACAGAAATGCTCTTATAAGAGTTGCTCTTAATCACAAGATCCCAAATAGTAGGAGCGAAGCGTGAATAATAAAGGGAAAAAAATTCAAAGTTTGGGAAGAAAGCTATTAACTTACTAAAGGTAAAATAAAAGTACTTTGAAAACTTCGAGGAATTCCCAAAAGCCATCAAAATACGCGTCGACAACGTTACCACTGATGAAAGAAGTGATGGTCCAATATCAAGAAAGGATCAAAGAGATTATTATGAAGAAAGGGAGTTAAGAAAGGATTGTGAGAGAATGAAATGTTCAAGTTGAAGTGAAGTGAAGTGATTCTTCTTTTGAAGGTTCTGTGTTGGAAAAGAAAAGGTCTGGAGAAATGAAGTTGTTTTTGATACTTTTGTATCAATGTTGACATAGCTCTCCAAAGATTCTCAATTCGCTAAAACAAGGTATCAGCTTTTATCCTGTTAATATTACGGATGGATAGTACAAGGTGAATACAAGACTGATAAATCTTTTTTTTCTTTGGTTGTGGAAAGTCATGAGTGAATCTTTCTGCTTGGTTTACATGGTGAGATCTTGTCGATTTGGGTGAATCCTACTGTGGTAGGCTCGTTCTTAACAATCACCTAGTTCCCGTCAGGTCTTGATTTGGTACTATTATTTGCTATGGCACACTTTCCATGGAGGGATAGAGGCAACGGTATAAGATCGATTCAGGATTTTATAGGTTTTTTTGGCTGGATAGTCAACCCTAACCATAATATCTGAAAGTGTTTACTACAGGAAGCATTTTTCTTATCTTGAGCAAATCCAGGCTCTAAGGTCGTAAATGGGTATCTTCTGTTTTTGTTCTTTCCTTTCATAAAATTTAGTAACTAGGTATCAAAGGCTTCATATCAATGGCTCCTTTTGAACTTTAACAACTTTCTCATAATAAAGTGTCATAAACAAACATGCGGAAGTATGGATGGATTATTTTGAGAATTTAGCTTGAGATAATGGCTACTTCTCACCAAGCCATGTATCAGAACGAGAGATCTGATAGCACATAGCACTAATCCCACTCTACTCCTGATTTATGTATTGGAAGCAGGCTATGGATCACTTATATTCTATGTGTAGAGATACAAAAATGAGTAGGAAGAAAGCTACGATTATCCATGGCAATCATTAGATGAATGCAATGTCTCGTCTTCACAGGACCATCCATATAATCCTTTCTAATCCCCTTCCTTGTTTCTATCATCGGCTCTTCGAAAATAAAAGTAAAGACTTAAAGCCATAGAAAACCATTCAAAATGTTATATAGCGTCCACACCAGTCTTAGATCATAATAAGATAACATCATCAATTTACTGAGGGGATATGAAGCACCTGATACTGGGATTCTTGCATTTGCCAGTAGTGATATAGAGGATAAGGAGGGCAAAAAATGGTTATCTTTGGGTAATGCTCTTCGATCCCTTGGTTTATACATGTCCAGTGACATTTATGCGAGGTATTAATGCGAGCTTGCATTCATCCTTCATATCACCATTATCCATTCCACTCGTCGTTTTGGCGAATATTCCCTAAATGGAAGCACAATAGAACGTTCCGATCCATTATCCACCAATTGACACAAGGCAGAAAGATAAATACCATTTATCTCAAAGTTAAAAGCAAAGCACAGAAAAAGGAATGCAGAAAAACTTGATTTCTATCTAATAGCACGGCCATAAAATGGGGAAAAACCCCGTGTATTAAATCAACCAAATAAATTCCGCAACCCCATGATCATCAATTCTTATGCCAATATCATAATCTTACATTTTCCTCTTCATCGCTGCCCATCATGATAAACACGCATATTCAATCATCACCCGCCAGTTATCTCTGCAAACATGCTCTGGCGTGTGAAACTCAAGTAATTCGTCAATTTAGTCTTAGATCATCCTCCTCCTCCTCCTCTTCCTCGCCCAATGACCATGATCCAGCCGAAATATCAAATGGCGAGTCCCTACCATCAACAGTAACTCTGTGAATAATTCTAATCAGCAATCCAAGACTCCTCATACTTCTCATCTGCAAAGCTTACCGAGACTTCCCACTAGTCTGAGGATTAGACTCTAGAGTGTTAATCTCCCACTGTCGACGAGCCTTGTTAAGTCTACCAACATGTTCCTTATTATTCCAGTCAAACTCATCAATATGCAATTCAATTCGCTTCTTCTCGATTTTGGTAGGATCGCGGATATCGTATCGGCGAAGCACGAACTTGGAATTATCAGGCTGACCAACCACTGCAGGAGTTAAATCAGTATCACTGGTGATAGCCCAAGCAACACTCGCATTTTCAAAAGATCTCGCGCTGAGTCTAGCTTGCTCGAATCCGGGACTGGTAGGTTGAGGCTTAGTCATCACTCTAGAGCGCTCCGGTGAGTTGGAAGCACGAGGAGTGATTTGAATAGGGCCAGACTTGGTAGTCTTATCCGTAAGGTTGACCCAATCATCTTCTTCATCTTTGACGTCAACTTCAGCCTTTTTGAAATCCCCAGATTTGTAGGCCGTATCGCGGCGGTGCTTATTATGATCTCTGAAGAGACCTGAGGGAACGATAGCATCTGCAATGTTGCAGAGGAAGTTTTCATGACGGAGAGCTCGTCTGTCTATATGTGAACCTTGGTTCCCTGGTTTACCGAATGGTGGCACAGGAGCTTCCGTGGGTGGAAGTTTTTTGTTGTTTCGTTCAGACATGGTGGTCTAGAGGAAGATCTGGTATAGTTAGTGAATGTCAAATGACTTTTGGGTAGACCTCATGAGATGGTAGAGTAGGAGTGCTAAGGTAATGAACTTTTTCAGCATGCGGACGAGCTCTCTAGCTCCATGTGCTAAAAGAATATATATTAAAATTTAGATAGAAATACAGTAGAAAATATTGCTCCTTACAGATGAAATTTTTGGAAGAAAGTTCTTCTGGTTTCAAATGTCGTGGTAGGCAAGGTGTTGAGATTTTCAAGGATGCGAAGGAGATGTACAAGTATGTTCGTAATATTCTGTGATGGTTTGTTCTTAAAAGTCTTTGGAAAAGAAATCTTTGTCAAGTAAACAATATAGAAGTTATTAAGTGTAAGATGGAGACTCCAAGGTTCTAAATTGAACATGTTTATACAAATGCAAATAAATACAATTGACAAGTCTACGGCTGGTGCTGTTCGGCCGGTGGATGATATTCCAAAGTCCATTATTCACACAAGTTTAGGAAATTAACTCAGTGTACATCTTGACGTAGAAAGAGACCGTACTGAGGAGATGAATCAAGGAATAAATTAGATAGATTTTTTGAAGTGGTTCGAGTTTTAAATATAATTAGGGTTAAAAGGTCCCGAGGAAATTATCTTACTTAGTTATTGTACCTGAAATGACTTTAGATGAGACTGATTGTATTCAATAGTTGACAGGATTGATTAATATCTAAAAAAAATTTAGTGAATATCATACATAAGCTATAAAGACTATAATTTACCTTATAGATTGATGATATTGGTAATTTGTCATATATTAAATAAATTACATTCACCGCGGAATAACCACTTGTGCATTTCTTATCAAATATTTAACATAATTAGAGCATATGATAGTATAATCAAAATGATAGATACTGATTTTTAAAACAGATATAAAGATTAATAATGAAGCATATGTAGAAACACATGAAAGTATTTAGTCTTGACCATTGAAAGACCAGCTGTTGATTTCATTTATCCAATTATGTCGGAAGTTATTCGTCTGAAGTCCAAACATCATATGAGAAGTTACAAATGAGCCACCATATGAAGACAAGAAATCATTTATGAGCAAAACAAACAAAAGGTTTGATTTTTTGATAATGAATTCCTAGTTTCAGGAATAACAAGCTAAAATATAGGTTTCTCCTTGCAGACCATCTTCAGATTTGAGCCTGGATCCATTATATTCACCAAAGTTAGCGAGTGAATATAGGAGTTCCGGCCATCACCTACCATATAGAAAGCGAAATTACACCAAAAATCGACGATTTTTCACTTTTTCAGATCCTTGTTATCTTTATCAAAAATTGAAATAACTAAATAAAATTTATTGTTAAAATGAATGGTTCCTGCGTAGCATGTGCACAGGGCACTAGTCCTATTAGGACTAGATTGAGAAGCTCTCTGTAGGAGAGCTTCGCACTTCCGTAGAACTTAGATGAAGAGTGATTAATACACTAGACCAATATTACCTCAGTTCTGCCCTATCAGCTTCCCACTATTCCCTGTGTAAGGTCATTGTGATGGAAAAGTCGTAAACGGAGTCAATTCAATTACTTAGAATCTAAAACTAAAGAACTAAGAAGATTCTAAGTAAGAAGGTCTTTATATACAGGGCTAGTGCACGTGAGCCACTAGTGGGATAACAACCGTCACGTAACAGTCATTCCTTTTAACATTTATCTTATTATAATGATAATCAATTTAAATTTTATAAAAATATAATGAAATATTTTTTTTATTTTTTGTTTGAATATTGTATATATTTAAAATTGAAAAAATACAAAAGTTTAAAAAAATCGATTGTGTGACCAAAAGGGTGTTATAGACCAGCAATTGTATTTAACTTAGAATCTACAGGTGAAGAGCACCTGTAGATGGGGATAGCTACTCTATATATACACAAATGAATGGCCTAGCCGCAATGGCTAGGCAAAAAGAAGTCGTATTTATTCCTCCAATGATCTTACTTTACCGATAACCATTGATACCTAGTACTTGTCCGGATCTGATCCTCAGGTCACCTAAATCGCATACTAATCTCGAGTAATCGTATCATGTGTGGACATGGTTAATGTACCTGAGGTTTCTTATATAATAAAGGTGGGAGGAAAGCAGGGATTTCCGTCACAGATTGTTTTATACAAAGAAAATTTCAAAAAAGTATTACACAAACAAAATTATATATTTTTTCAACTTTAAATATATATAATTTTTTGAAATATTTCAATAATTAATTATAATATTTTAAAATTTTATAAAATACTATTCAATAATTAAAAAGTTGTTCGATATTTCATTTTATATAAGAAATTATAGTTTTTGCAGGGATTTTGCCACAAATTCGAATGGTGTGAGGTGAGTGATGGCCGAAACTCTTACAAAAGTACAGCAAAGAGACATCAAATGTCACACTCAAGAATACTGGGTAAAGTATCTTGTATTAGAAAATACTAAGCTAAGGAGAAAAGAAGAAGGAAAACAAGAGTAGCGATTGATTGATTGATTGATTGTGTTTATCGTCATAGGCCGTAGGCCCACGCGCCTTGGCGCGTGATAACCTTAGCCATCTATTCCAGTTTTGGACAAATGACGCTCAGAGGAGAAGCCTCTGAGTGGTTTACTAGCTAGCTAGGGGGAGTATTTTTATACAATTTAAAGGGGGCTAGGGCAGGGTTTACATGATTGCCTTCGCAGGGGGGGTTTGGGCCGGTAGGCCTTTTGGGGTTGTAATTGTGGTCATCCTCGTCCACTAGATCACTACCTCTTGATCTCTCTCCCTGTCTCCTCGTACTTGTTTTGGTTGTTCGTATGCATACTTGTTTTTTTTTTTTTTTTTTTAATGAAAGAAAAGGGAAAGATGAAAGAGAGGAAAGAAGAGGAAGGAAAAGCCCCTTTAGAGACCCTATTAACTCCGTTTGAATCCCAATGAAAGAAAGAAAGTCTTTTTATTTTTTTTATTCATCCTTGCACCTGTGTGCCACGGGCAGATTTTTGTGTAGAACTTGGTGTATTCTAGCTATTCGGCTAGTTTGGCTATACCCGGTGGGATTTCTTAGAAGCCAGGGGATAGCTTCGGAGGGGGGGCTCTTTGTGAGCGCTTTGAAGGCTTTTCCTTTTTTGCAAAAGAAAAAGTGTAATGGAGTTTTCCTTTTACCGCACAAGCAATGGACATGGGCTGTAGTGTGATTGAAGCGTTCATGGTATGCTGCGAAGTCGCCATGCTGTGATCTGATAGCGAGAATATGGTGGAGTATGGCTCTCTTCAAAGAGAGGGTGTCTGTATTAGAAGTGTAGTTGAATTGGAGATCTTTGTAGTATTGTAGGCTGACTGTATTCCATAATTGTTCGTTTGCTTTGTTGGCCCTTGTTCTGATCATTCTTTTTAGGGATGCTAGCGTACAGATCGGGTTGAGGGGAAAGGGGAGTTTTGTTCCTTCCTTAACGGCTTTGTCAGCTATTTCGTTGCCAGGGATATCCAGGTGCCCTGGGACCCATCGAACGCGGATTTTCCCGGGGGAAATGTGTGGAAGCCTTGGTCTAACAGCCTAAGCTTGTATGAGCTTCAGAAAGTCTTCAAAGACTCTCTGTGAGGAACCATTGAAGTGGGATCCTAATCGGAGAGCAGCCTCGTGGTTGTCTAAGAGGATCCAGAGATCTGTGGCCAGTTTGGTTGATGCTAGAGTGAGGGCTTTTGCTGCCCCTGCTACTGCGGCTGTGGCTTCTGCATCGAACACTTCTGCATTTGTGCCTAATGAGAAAGAATGGTGTGCTATCTGAATATCGAATTGTGAGATTACGAATCCGCCCCCAGTTGCACCATCCTTGCTTTCACTTTTTGAGCCATCCGAGAAGATTTGTATATCGCTTCTTGGGATCTTGGCGTGGAAGGCTTTGAAGTCTTCGGTTGCTTGTGCCTTCGTTCTGCCTATCGGACCATTGATGCGGGCCTCGGCCTCTGCCCTCGACTCTCTGATTTCCTAGGGTGGGAAGGCCAAGGGGTTTATGTATTCAGTCTCCAGTAATGCTGTGATGAGCCTTGCGAATCTTGTATCTGGGGTGCGGTTATATTCTCTGGCTTTGGTTATGTTCTCTGCTCTGATCCTGAGAGGATGGTAAAGGTCTAGTCTGGTGGTTCGTGCCGTATATAATTGTGAAATCAGGTTTAGCTCGATCTCGGATAGTCTGAGTTTGGCTTCCTCGTAGAGTACTGCTGTGTTTATGGTTTTATATATTGGGAGGATTGCCTTTGTATAGATGATTACCATTTTGTTGAGTAAGCTTAGATGGCTGTCCACTACATTTGAGATCGAGATCGGGTTGTTTAGGGCATTCTTCTTTGTTTTGGTTCGGCCTGGCCACTACGTTTCCGAGGCGAAATAGCACTTTTTGAGTATGCAGGCTTCAGCCACTTTCCTGATGAGATATAGGGGTATCCCTTGGTGTGTATTGCTGAGGGATCTCAGTATGTTGGCTCTTTTAAGGGCTTTGGCTGCGAGGATCTGGATATGTGATTTGAAGCATAGTTTCCTATCGAAGTGGACTCCGAGCTATTTGAGCGGGCTAGGTTTGACTTCTATATTCATAGATCCGGTGTGTATTGCAGGGGTATCTGTTAGTGTTCGGTGTCCTTTATAGAAGTGTATAAGCTCAGATTTCTTGGGGTCAAAAATGATACCTTCGGTTTTTCCCCATTCGAGAGTTTCTTGCATATCCATTTTTAGAGAATCGCAATTTGTCTGTAGTGAGTTTGATATCGTTAGTATCGCGATATCGTCTGCATATCCGAATCTGCTCTGTGGTTTGCCCATCCAGAAGAGAGGCGCAATGTAGAGCATGAACAGGATCGGGGAGATCGGTGAACCTTGAGGAAGACCGCATTCTAGCTTTGTTTCCGGGCCAGTCTCGCCGTCTAGTCGGATCTTGATGGATCGATTAGTGGCGAAGGACTGAACCCATCTAATCAGGTTGTTTGGCCATCCTTGTTCCCGAAGGCGATTCACTAGTCTTCCTGGTAGCACTGCGTCAAAAGCACCTTTTACATCCATTGTGAGCAGGGTGGTCTTTAACCCTTGTTTTAAGGATGCCTCAATGTCATGTGTAACGCAAATAATGAGGTCCACTGAGGATCGCAAGGGTAGAGCTCCGAGCTGCTGGTTCGCTAGGACTTGGTAGTTTAGAGCAAGCCATGATACCTTCTTCGCAATGAGTCTTTCGAGGCCTTTGCCTAGGACCGAGAGCAAGGCAATTGGTCGATATGATCTTGGATTGGTATAATCTGACTTGTTGGGTTTAGGGATGATTACGATGGTAGCTAATCGGAAGCATTTTGGATGGTATCCTAGATGTAGACAGCCTTTGAAAAAGGATAGGGTTACTTCTTTTATTTGTAGCTATGCGACTTGTAGGATTTTTGTTGGGATTTTGTCTGTGCCAGGTGCTGTGTTCCCTGCTTTTAAAATGGCCAGCTCTATATCTTGTATAGCTATATTAGGGAAGGTGATAGATCTGCTTGGGGCTGTAGGGGTATCGAACAGGATATCGTCAACCTCGGCTAGGTTTATCAGTAGGTTGTTGGCGAAGGTTTCTCTTTTCTCTTCGATAGTATTTGCAATGGTTTGTTTTGATAGATCTGCTAAAGGGGGGGTACGGTATATTCCTATGGATTGATGCCATTTGGTCATTCGATATATATCGTTTATATCTTCTACTTTATCCACTTTTGTAATATAGAAGATGTGTTTTGCTTTTCGGACTGTTTTCCGAAGAGAGTGTTTGAATGTAGGTGTATTGATGATTCTATATTTATATATAGCCTTTATATAGTCCTTATTCCATCAAGGTTGTTGAAGGGGCTTGTTTATAGATCTTCTTGCAGATCCTGTATAGGCTTTTGTAAGGGCTTGTGTAAGGGATAATGCGGCTTGATCTAGGTCTCTTAGAGAGGGTGTCCTGGGGATAGCTACAATGTTGGTGAGATTAGTTTCTAGTAGGTCTTTAAAGAGTGTTTCATTCAATGTATTTAGCTTGAGTTTCTTTGCAGGCTTTTGGCTTCGGTAATTCCAGTGAAGGTAGGTTTTTAGGGTGCTGTGATCTGAGGTGCACTCTAGTTGTTCAGCGAGGGCGGTATACGCTGTATAGGGCCCTGAGAGGAAGGTGAGGTCCAAGACGTTTCCCTTTGAGTGAGTAGGCAGTTCCGATTGGGGAGATGAGGTGTAGATTCCGGGAGTTTG